CCCAGGGGGCCCCTGAGGGGCCCCCGGGGGCCCCCAGGGGGCCCCTGGGGGCCCCTGGGGGCCTCTAGAGGGGCCCCTAGGAGCTACCTGTAGCGCCAATGGGGCCCCCTTGGGGCCCCTGAAATACTCAGGAGGCCCCGGAGGCCCCTGGGGGCCCCCAAGGGGGGGCCCCTGGGGCCCCTGGGGGCCCCCGGAGGCACCTGGGGGCCCCCAAGGGGGGCCCCTGGGGCCCCCTGGGGCCCCCGGGGGCCCCCATTGGGGGCCCCTGCACTTACCGTGGACTGTTGGGGCCTCGGAAATGCGGTGGGGGCCCTCTAGACCCTCTGGGGGCCCCGCGAAAGGGTCTAGAATTGGTTGTTTGACTTTGAGTCCTGCATCAGTGTTGTCATCTCCTTCTTGAGCTGCTATTTCTGCTGCTGCGTCTGTTGCTGCTGCTGCTGCTGCTGCTGCTGCTGCTGCTGCTGTGTCCAATGTGGGGTCTGCTGCTGCAGTGATGGGCCCCTGTGGGGAGTTGATTTGGCTTTCGAGCTGCTGTACGTACAGCACAGCCATTTGCTGCTGCTCCGAGCCTATGACTGCTGCGCTGCCGTGCTGCTGCTGCTGCTGCTGCTGCTGCAGCAGCTGCTGCTGCTGCTCGCACTTCTCATAACCCCCCTGCCACGCCTCGCTGAACTCCGCAGCTGTGCAGTTCAGCTGCTGCCGCAGCAGCAACTCCAGATCTGCAAAGGTCAGCTGTGGGGGCCCAGCAGCAGCTTGCTGCAGCCGTGCTGCTGCTGCGTTCGCCGTGTCTTCTTGAAACGCCCGCCGGCGCTGCAGCAGCAGCAGCAGCAGCAGCAGCACAAGCAGCAGCATCAGCAGAAGCAGAAGCAGCAAAAACAGCGGCAGCAACTGTCCTCACGCAGCAGCAGCAAGCTCGGAAGCGGCAGCGGCAGCCACGCGCCGTCTAACCAAACGAGCCAGCAGCAGCAGCAGCAGGAGAATCAGCAGCAGCAGCAGCAGCAGCAGCAGCAGCAGCAGCAGCAGCAGCAGCACGTACTTCTGGCGACCAGTTGGCCATAAAGGCCGGAACAGCTGCAGTCTTAGAGCTCATGTCCAGCAGCTCTATGCCCATTTTCTCTCGCAGTGCTGCTGCTTTGTCAGGTGGTGAATTTGATGCATTGCTGCTGCTGCTGCTGCTGCTGCTGCTACTGCTGCTGCTGCTGCTGCTGCTGCTGCTGCTGCTGCTGCTGTATGCTTGTGGCTGGACACCAGGCGTTTCCCTCACGCTTTCGCGAGAAGCGAACTGCTGCTGTCGCTGCTGCTGCTGCTGCTGCTGCTGCTGCTGCTCTTTAGCTGCTGCTGCTGCGTCATCATTCAACGCCGGATAAGAGGAAATAATTCGTACATCATCATCAGGGGGGGGCCCCCCTGGGGGCCCCCCAGGGGGCCCCCCTGGGGGCCCCCCAGGGGCCCCCACGAGGCTTTGCTGGGGGGCCCCTGGGAAGGGCGCATTGAGGCGCTCCTGCTCCATCCGCTGCAGCGTTTCGTAGGCGTGCTGCTCCTGCTGCTGCTGCTGCTGCTGCTGCTGCTGCTGCTGCGGCCCGAAGGGAAGACCCCCGGCCTGCAGGCCGGGCCCCTTGCCCTCAACAGCAGCAGCAGCTGCTGCTGCTGCTGCTGCCATATCTTGCAGCAGCTTGCTGACGATCCGCTGCTCCGCGTCCTGCAGGTGTCTGTACACCTCAGGCCCATACTGCTGCAGCTCTGCTGCTCCTGCAGACCGACGAAGGGCCACTAGCTGCAGCTGCTGCTGCTGCTGCTGCTGCTGCTGCTGCTGCTGCTGCTGCTGTCGCATTTGGGCAGGCCCAAGCCGCACGTCACTGAACAACAGCCGCAGCTCTATGCCCTCATTCTGCGGCCACAGCTGCTGCACCTGCTGCTGCTGCTGCTGCTGCTGCTGCGTGCTGCTGCTGCTGAACAGCTCATCTGGCTCTAAGAACAGCAGCAGCACTCCATCAGGCAGCGGCTCTATGTGCAAATGGACTAGTGTGTCGGGGCACCCAAACCTGGGGGCCCCCCCTTGGAGGCCCCCGGGGGGCCCCCCAGGGGGCCCCCAGGGGGGCCCCCCAGGGGGGCCCCCAGGGGGGCCCCCAGGGGGGCCCCCAGGGGGGCCCCCAGGGGCCCCCAGGGGGACCCCTGGATTTCCCGATAAGTATGGCTGCAGCAACTCGGCGTTGCGGGCGTTGGCCCAGGTGTCGAGCAGGGCAAGACCTTGCTGCAGCAGCTGCCGCTCCAGCTCCCGCTGCTGCTGCTGCTGCTGCTGCGGCGTCTGCTGCTGCTGCTGCTGCTGCTGCTGCTGCTGCTGATCGGGCTCGAGAGATGGCAGGGATCCCAAGAGAGCCGGGGGAATCGGCACTTCCGCTAGCACAGCCCCAGGGGCCCTGCAAACAAACAACTGGCTCCTAAACCCTAAACCCTAAACCCTAAACCCTAAACCCTAAACCCTAAACCCTAAACCCTAAACCCTAAGGCTAGACGCTGCAG